TTGCGCGTTTCTTTACCGTTTTTCTTTTCCGCGTTGCTCTTCGTCGCGTTGGCGTTTATGTTGTTGTAAGTTCCTCGTTTTCAGGTTTATGTTTCAAATTTTCGTGCGGTTGCACTCAATCACCTTCAGTGTTTGGCTCTTTCCGACTTGCTGAGACATCGTAGACTATTGATGGAGTGGTTTTTGTGATTAATTCTGGATTTTCGAAACAATGAGGTTAGTTGCGCAACTATCTAGTGTTGTTGTGATGAAAGTATCGTCTAAATAATCCGTTTATTGCTATCTCCACCGATGAATCACTTTGCCGTTCATTGCATGCCGATCTTCTCGTATTTTCGGTTGTGATAGTTGTTCACGATTAGTCGTGTTGGAAAACTATCACAACCGAAATGCAAGAAGATCGGCATGCATATGTTAGTTGTTTTGTCGGGATCAGTCGCGACGATGAAATCGCGTGAACTCTGCCCGGGCCTAACGCTGTTCCTTCTGTTATACGCTGTCCTCACCAGTCGCTGAGTACTCATTTGGAGAAATAAGAATAATAATGTAATGTAATGTTGATCATTCCATCGTCTAATATCAGTAGCAGCGGTAACAGCGATGATGGTTGATCGAACCCTGAAAAATTTTGTAGTTTAAGTTTTTTTCAATACTTGAAAACTTGGCCACGATATTACAGGTACATGGCAAAAAGAAGGTCCTTTCTCAACACCAAAGATTGACCCTGCAAGGACGGAGCGTTCCTTTATGGAAGGAAGCACGAAACTAGATTCGTCGCGGCTTTCTAGCGCACAAGTAAGATCTTTTTGTATAACTTCACACATTTTCTAGCTCAAAATTTTCTTTAGAAGGTTAAGCATCCTCCAAAGTTACCTTACAATGTTCCTGAACCGAGTTTTCCGATATATCTTCCATACGTCCAAGTGATGCAACTTTCTCTGTCGACCAAGGAGGTGCAGGCAACATTGGTGGGTGATATTTACTTGTAATTTGCTGTTCCTGTACCATTCTGCTTATGTAATCAAAATGCTACTGGTTATAATGTTTCCCAGTTCTATTCATCTACTCTTTTACACACTGTTCGACTCAAAGATCAAAGTAGTCATAGGCATTGTCAGTTTTTTAGTTGCGAATTCAGCTGTGGGTCTAACTTTTCGGTTAAAAGGAGATGGGAATAGGAGTACTATCGTTTTGATGACTTGTTTTGAGCACTTTTCCTCTCTTCGCTGTCGTATTTCTTTGCATTTGCATCTTTCTAATCTTGCAGATGTCTTTTCGCAGAGCAATCATCTTCTTTTACATGCATCACCAAGTTCAAATAGCAAAATTGATGCTAAAATTTGCTAAATGTCGCTAATCCAATCCGTTCAAAAATGCTTCTATGCTCTCTACAATTCATTTATCTGAGTGAAAATTATTGCATTATAGTTGAGAATTCGCACTCGCACTTCTTGCTTCACACCTGCTTATTTTGTTATTTTGTGGAAACAGCAAAGGCAAATTCGATCATCAACCACAATCCGAGAATGTTCACAAAATCTTCGTCGTTCAAGGTAAGTCAATAACTCTAGATTTGATATTGGTGAATTTGACTTCAGTGTATGGATGATGTTTTCGCCGAGTTGAGCCGAGAAGTTTTGTCTGGAAGTGGAACACCACTTACCAAGGCATTTGCGAAGATGGGCTTCAGGCCAACTTACAAGCAGGTAAGCACTTAAGAGGAATGAACCTATTATTTTTCTTTCTCATTCAGGATTTTGCTGATGATTATAATTACACGGTCAAGGATTTTTCGGATCTCACCGACGGAGTGATTTTGGGGTGGGTCCCTAGTAGACTTTTTGCACATGTTTTCTGCAAATGATTATTAATTGCAGTAAAATCATTGAGTTGGTGACTGGATGTCCGCCTGGCAGCCTCATCTCTCGCCTACGCAATCCAGGGGGAGACCGTTTGAGAAAAATTGGCAATGTAAAAGTGTGCTTGCAAACTGCTTGCGATAGAGGAGTAGACCTAGGAGGTAGGTTCTGTCTTGCGATTCTGTAAACAAGCTTCCAATCGTGTGCCTTCAGCGGTAAAGGCAGAAGCAATTACGGGAGCAAACAAGGAAGCGATTTTGAAAGTTCTATGGAGGTTGGTGGGAGTATACGTGGTAAGTTTCATGTTTAATGCCATCTCACAAGGATTCTGCGTTGTCCATCTTGTAGAAGCATTAATGACCAAATTAAAATCATTTTCTTAAGTCTCAGAGCTTACGTTATTCTTTTGTTTTATAGGGAGCAGATGAGGAGCGCGATTTACGACGAGCATCTCTACCACTGACTCATCAAAATAATTCAATCTTGGCGCTGTTCCCGATGACATCAGTGGAGAACAATTCGTTCTTCACATATGCAAGCAAATAGATAATATGCGCCAACTGCGACTGCAATTTAAACTGTTCCACAAACCGTTGTTTGGTTGGAAAGGTTCATTCTTTTACACCAGTGGGTGTGAAATGATTTACGATATAAGATGATTTTTCGAAGAAGTTTGAAAAATTTGAAATAAATGTCTTATCTCTTCGTTCTTTCTTCTATTTTCTATCCACAAACGCTAGGGGTGAGAGGGAGGGGGGTAGAGTAGGGGTGAGGGTCGCGCTGAACTCCTACCCGGGGGGAGGGTCCTATTCGGCTAATTTGGGTGGGGTTTAGAGACAAAATTGGGGTTTGGAGCTTGAAGGCAGGGTCCAGGCACGTCTGGACCTATGGGGATTTTACATGGAAAGTACTTTTGGGGCCCTAACTAAGTTACTACCCAACCGGCAGCTCAGGTAGTGCTGTAACGCCTGAGATATTCTGCTCGAAATTGGACCCCGCGACCGTGTTTCGCATGGATTCATGGCGCAAAGCGTGGATCCTGGCGCGAAACTGCCATGAATCCATGCGAATACGTTCGCGGGGGTCTGTTTCGAGGGGAATATCTCAGCCATTGGAGCACTACCTGAGCTGCTGCTTCGGCAGTGCCTTAGTTAGGGCCCCAAAAGTACTTTCCATGTAAAAGCCCCATAGGTCCAGATCTGCCTGGAAGCTGCCTTTAATCAGGGCTAATTACAGTATGCCGCGGCAGACTTGCGGAGCACAAAATCGGGGGGCTCCGGCGCACAAAATCGGGGGGCTCCGGAGCAGAAAATGGGAGGTATCCGGAGCAGAAGATGGGAGGTCTCCGGAGCAGAAAATGGGAGGTATCCGGAGCAGAAATGGGAGGTCTCCGCCGGAGAAATGGGAGGGCTCCGCCGGACAAATGGGAGACCCACCGCTGGGGTAACGCCGCGACCCTGCCATTTCTCCGGCGGAGGGGTCCTATCCGCTGTCTGAGACGATATCCAGCTTGCCCGGTACCAGCTGGTGCCAGCCCCTGGTCTGGAACTACGGTCGGAATTTGGCTCCAACCGACGTTTTTCTTGTAGATGCTCATTACTTGTAAATAATTGGTACAGATTTTTGTATATGATTTTTGTATAGTCTTCTGCTTACTTTACTACCAAATCCTTCCCCTAGAAAGACCAAAAGAAGCTCGCAATCGTAGCTTGGTAATCGAACAGAGAAAGAAACACCGTTGAAAACGTGCTAGTCCGTATGTCATATATTGTTTTTTTTTCAGTACAGCTGTTGAAAACCGTTACTTGCCCGGCTATTACACATAGTCTATCTGCTTCATGCCAGGCCATTACAGCAGTTAAATCTTATTCATACAGTCATAAACCTAGTGACAAGTGCTACCACTGACTGGCAGCTCATTGATAACTCGTGTACAGCTACTCTTTATGTTTTATACATCTGAATGATGGCTTACGAACATGTCGATGCCAAAGCATCTTTAAGAACGGCAACCCTGATTAGCGATACTCGACTATACAGCAGTTCTCACGTACGAATCAAACCTTTTTATTGATACATCCACTACAGAACATAGTAGGTTGAACCGAAAGATCGTTCGCACCAATTTTAAAATCGCTTTTTTTTTCTTTTTCTTACGATAATCTTTCACGAGAAAAATAACATCAGAAATAGTAAAACGTATACTTTCTAGGTCATCGCTCTTTACTAAGCTTTGGTTGCTGAGATAAAATTGAGAAAATAAGGTAATTTCAATTTCGAAATTTTGGGGCAAACCCGTCAAAAATTTCAAAACTGTACCATAAAACTCAACAGGCAGTGACCTAGGTTTCGTGATCCCCTCTTTCTAGCTGAACCAAATGTGTATCAACCGAGTTCCTCTTAAAAATACGATTTTCGATTGAAAAATGCCAAAAAAACAGTTTCTTAATAAATTTGATTTCAAGAGACCTCTTCTCAAAATTCATACAAATAACACCTCAAACAACGCAGATATTGCTTCGCTAGAAAGATGGGGTCAAGTGATCTAGGATATAGCCTGTTTTGGATTTTATGGCACAGATTTAGAATTTTTAACGGGCTTGACTCAAAATTCCGAAATTGAAGTGATTTCTTTTTCCAGTTTCATTTCTGCAATTGAAGCTTGGTAGAGAACAAGCAAAGTCTTCTAAAAAAGCGTATGCTTTGCCTTTCCTAATATTAATTCTTTTCTAGCAAGATTAAGACAAAGAAATCACTATTTTTTGAAAATGGTGGGAACGAACTTTCGGTTCAAACTTAATATTTTGTGAGATTATCACAAAACACAGTCAGCCAGTTTGGGGCATTGAATGAAATCAAATACCTGCCAAGGAAATACCGCTCCCAAAAACGCACAAAGTTTTGCATTTTTTGTGTAAAACAGTAATTGACGATAAATGAAATGGGTATTTTTTAAGCAAAAAAGAGAAGGTCATTATGAACTATATAGCAATATTAACAAAAAAATTTTTTTTCCTACTTTTGTACTCATGTTTTCGTTGCTGCCGTGGGCTCAGTAGGTCTAGTATCAATTGCACATCAACTGACATATCTGAAGTTTTGTTTTCAAAATTTATGTAGCACAAAGATTACAAATAAAGGTGTTAACGATAATGCGAATTATCATTTACTGGGTAGGATTCTCTGCCGGATTGATGGATTGTACCGCAGTCATCCCATTATGCAACATCTGTTGCGCTTGAAACCGAGTGCTTTTCGAGCGCACATTGGCAACCACTTGGTATCTAAATGAATGTGAGCGAAGTAGAGAGCAAAGGAAGCCCATGTTTCCACATCAGACGTCAACTTGAATATGTACTCGTTGATGAAAGTCATACCTCGAGGTTTTCAGGCAGAAGTTTCTCACAGTTGTCGCATCCTACATTTCGCAATATTGTTACTAGAGACTTAGTAGAGATGCATGTGCCTTGTGCTGAAAGGTCAGGCCATGCCATAGTACTGTAATCACCGCGAGAAATGACTTACGTCTACCATTATCGAAAGCACAACCATCGTTACTCTCTTCGCAAATTTCTGCATTAAGGTATCTTGGGTAACAGTTATCGCTGACCCTGTAGACTCTGCGGCATGCTGGAAGCTCTGCGTTCTGACTTCATGAAAGCTGAGGCAAAAGAAAGAGATTACTTCTACACATGCTTAGTTTTCCTCGTGAGATTTCTTTCCCTGCTGGGTCACAGATTTCACGGACAAGAGCTGAAAAATATTTGCTTTTTTTGTTGAGTTTATTGTCACCTTAGCTCTCACTTAGCTTGCAAGAAGATCTTGTGATCTGACTTGGCGTCCATCTCCTAGTTCTTTTTAGATCTCCGGCAGATTTACGCAATTTCTGGCACTCGTCATCGCAGTAGATTTCCGATGTATTAGAAAGTGACTGAAATGCAGTTAAGAATTACCACACTAATCAGAAACAGAAAGAGGATTACATTGCTCTTGTTGCCAGTGGCCGCCAATTTGGTTTGTGCACTGAGATTGAAGCTCCGCAGTGCGTCTTCAAGTACCTGAAATTTTCAAACCACTAGATATAAAAACCAGTGAACTAGTATTTCCAACAATGATAATCATTGCTGAATTTCTTTGTAGATTTGTAGCACACCCTCACCATTTTGCTGTAGACTTTTTTGACAAAATTTGGTGAAGAAGATTAAGAAGAAGTAAAGAAATGTTGGAAAGATATCAGTTATGCGCAATGTCTTTTAAAAATTCCGTAAGTCTATTTTTAATTCAATTATTTCAAAACCTCAAAGTCTCATACATACAAGATCCCAAATTCAAGCATTTTCAAAAATTCTGCGCAGCACTTCAATACCAAGGAAATTGTCGCTCTTTATAATTTTCTTTTTCATCCTTGGCACCTTTTCAAGGATTTTATAGATTTGTTACAAAATGTCAAAAAGTCAAAGATTGTCAAAAAATTGCTAGTGTTGCTGTAGTTACCGTAGTTCTTCGAACTTGGGGCTCGGGCAAGTGCTACCTGCAGCAAAAACCCTGGTGTCCAGCAAAAATGTTCCCAGTTCGCAAAATTTGGATTACTCATAGAGTATGTATGACATTTCATAACTATCGTGAGCATAGGAAGGTGAGATTGCCGAATTCGGACAAATGTCAGACCTTGTTTTCTGCTCCTTTGTCATCCAAAACTGAATCATCAGCTGGTGCATTGATCTCGTTGTATTCTGAAAATGCAAGAAGTTAGAGAAGTCTGTAGAACCTCTTCATACTTGTTTTGTCAGAGAAATCGTCTACCAAAATCACAGATTTTTTATAAATTCTTATGTCACTTTCCCATTCTTTTATTAGTAAAAGCCAAAAGTGTGTGTCCCATAAAATGTATCTAACGTTTGATCTGTAATAATTTTCTTGTATAAAAAGCTTTCGCCTCCTTTGAACACCACATCTTAGAGCTGGCTTCAACTCAGATTTACAGTATGAAGCAATCATCGACAGCTTTTCATTATTGTGAGATTAGGGTCAAAACTTTCGACTTTACCGCTTCATTGCGGAATACCCCGTTTTATGAGGTTTCTTCAAAAACCCTGAAAAGTCGTAAAAAGTTGTGTACAAGGTTTCCAAGTTACATTATTTGATTTTTTACGAGTTTTTGAAGCTTTAAGTATGGTGATCACTTCTTCAGAGAACTTTGTAGAAAAACTATTGCGGTCTACTTGACATAAATATCAGGGAAGCACCGCGCAGAAGTGGAGACTTTATATACGTGTCAGCGGCTCTGATCAGTCTAGTGTATGATTATCAAGCTTGTGCGGTTTGCTTTCTGAGGGAAAATACGGCTCTGAATGGCTCAGTACCTTCTCCAGAATCTCCCGTAATCTTACAGTAACGAAGAGCGGCCAGTGCTTCGCTCCATTATCTAAGTTGAAGCCATTTCTACAACATTGTCTTTACAAGAAAGCGAAAGCTTTTCATACAGGAAAATTATCACAGATTAAACGATCGACTCCTTGCATATGAGATTGATTTGAATTTATCTATTAGCTGAGTTGAACAAAAACACGTTTTAGAACTTGTACAATTGAACTTTTTGATAGTTAACAAGAAAGTCAATTCTGACGCTTACCTGCATGCTTATCAATCGTCCCCGATTCGCAATTACTTTGAGATAGGAACATGAATAAGAAGATCACGGGAAGCTGCTTCATGGCTGGATATCTAGTATAAAAAAATAAAATAAAAAAATAAAACATTGCCACTGCAATAGCACTTTCGAAAACAATTACGCGCACACAAATTCGAGGGAAAGCCAACAAGGGTGTTCATTCAATTTGCACAATTCAGCAAAATTCTTGGATTTAGTGAGTTATGAATCGTCCAAGTTGATGGGCACGAGAAACTTGAGTTATGGCTCCCAAATAAAGAAGGTTTAGCTGGCTTTTACTTAACTACTCCATCGACTAACAGTAGGTTCAGACTTAGAAAACATGGTTCACTCTTACAAATTTTATCATGAATCTAATCAACTCTGCTTACTTGGTAGAAAAGCGAGTACCACAAGTAAGCGCCACCTCCCAGTAACGTGGTCCCTCGCACATGCTAGTGAACCCCGGAACTTCAAGCCCACCTGTTGGACTTCCCTCGACGCTCTGTTGCGCAGTTAAGACTTGGCACTCAGAACTGGTCGAAAAAAGCCAGTCAAAACCTCTATGGACTGTTCATAAAGTGTCTTCATACCGCGCCGACAGCCGCCGCTAGCCGCTTTTGTGTATTCCCAGTACCCGCATACCAAAATTGAAACCATGAATTTTGCTCAAACATGGTTTGAGGGGGTTGCTTTCTACGTTTTGAAAAGGCCTTGGGATACTGGAACAGTGCGCTAAAGCGGCTATGGGCGGCTAGCGGCGGCTGCCGGCGCGGTAGAAGGCACCCACAGAGCGCTTGAGCGCAGCTGTTCTGAAGATGACCCAGCACCAACATCTTGTCGGATTTCGCACCTACTATGAAAAAATGTCCTGTCTTCGCGACCGAGCAGAATATGTTGCGAAAGCGAGGCATCAATGCGCCGGTCACATCATGAGAAGAACAGACGACGAATGGACACTAAGTACATCCGAATGAGTTCTTCGCAAAGCAAGGTGTCTTCGAGGAAGATCACCAACGAAAGGGGCAGACATGTTGAGCGGACGGGCCAGCTGAGAAATCAGCTGGATACTCTTCTCGCACTTGAAACTTGTGGTGGCAGCCACTGACGACCGACGACCAGAGGATTGGTACGTATCTGAAACGAGGGGCAGGGGTCGTTGGAAACTTTTGCGCAGGAGTTAGCACGCCATTGAAGGTCTAATCGTAAGTATCTAAGTTTCTAAGTAAGCGCACACCGTATTTGAAACGGAATTATGGAGCCCAACCTAGTTTACTATGCACCCTCTCTGGTTCCAAAAAATCTCTACCTTTCTTGCTGAACCCAAAAATACATCGAAAAATAGTACTTTGAAAAGGATAATGCGCTTCAGATTTCAATGAGGAAGTGGCTTTTACATTAGAAATTGTAAAATTTTGTGTGTCAAGGAGATGAATTTCCGATACGATTGCCACCCTTGTATTCCTCTACTACTAATCCGCAGGGCACGGCTTATGGTCACTGTAGAGTTGGTCTTCATCGTTCTTTTTGATAAGAAGAAGTTCAAATAACAAGGATTTGCTCATATAAACATTTTGAATCTCTACTACATGAGCAAATTGGCTTTATCAATATTTCTGTAAACGCAAGTCATCAATTATCGAGCTTTAGTGTATAAATCGTCTAAATGTTTTTGTTAAGGTTCGTTATGGGTCTACCTTGACAACGTACTTTGAATATCTCGCTATTTCGCAGAGATATTGAAAAAGCAAAACTTGTGCACATAGCAGGCTAATGGGGAAAATACACAAACTAATGTGCACGGCAGTAGACGTCAACTATGAAATCCGAAAAGACAAATGCTATCAGTGCTGCTGCCTTTTAAAGATTTGGAGGAAACGTGACTTATGACAGCACTTGTTCATTACAGTAAGAAATTTGCTAAACTGAACTTTTCGTAGTATAACGAATAAACAGTGCTGCATGACTTTGTTGGTGTGATTAATTCGTAGACCACTTCTTGACGTACCGTATTTCGTGTTAAAAATTATCTGCTCGAAATGTCCAGAAAAAAAAACGCTGGGATTATTCACCACATGTTCTATCACGTGCTGGATGATTTGCTGCTAAAGGGTCTCGATTTATATTGAAGCGGCACTTCACTACGAAAGCTCCTAATCCTAAGCGTAAACTTTGAGTAGAATTTCATGTCCTTCACAATGTGCTATTCCTTCAATTCTGATACCTTGAGGGATTGATATCTAATAGAAAAGTTTTAATTACGCTTACATCGGCAGGAGAATGAACAATTGGAGTATTGCCAAATTGCGTCGCGACTGAAATCGTGTGAGATCCGCCCAGAGCCTAACACTCTGTGACGGAGAAAGGTGCGCTTCTGTTGCAGATGTCCCTGTACTTCCAGATTGCACCACCGTTAAAGTATTGGGAGATTGTATCAAAGTAGTGAGAAAGGGGTCTGACATCATTCAAAGACTTCTCAAGCATGGTGCCACGTCCTTTAGAGGCATGTGCATCAGAAGTCGAAGTGGCCAATCCAAACAAGCTGCGTACCATTCGATGCAGCATAGAATGCTGATTTCAAATCTTCCTTCCATGTCTGCAGAGCGCCTTTGAAGGCGGAGTTATGAGCAGCTTTACTGTGGAACCGTGTACAAAAATTGCGAAATTAGACACATTATTGCTGTTTCAGCTCACATCTAGGTACGGGTCCTATGAATGACCTAGTTGCATGCTTTGTTCCAACACTGAGCCGAGAATGGCTTTGTAGGCCAAGTCTGCATTTTACATGCAGAATTCCTTGGCAAAATAATGGCCTTCAACGGCTTATAATTTCGTCCACAAAAGCGCTTGCAGATAAGATAGACAGATTTAGAGTCAGCATTTTATACTGCATTCAATGGTTTGCAGCTTGTATGGATTGGCCACTTCGACTTCTGACCATTCCCTTGGTATTTTTCGATTCTACTGACTTGGCGGCTGGAAGGCGGGCTTCGTTTTCTTGTGGCCGCTCGCGCCCGCGATGCCGTCTGCGTTTCTGTCGCCCGCGTGCTCTCTGGCATTAAAGGGTAAGTGATGTTCTGTCCCACCTTGTTCAGACTGACAATGCATAGTCAACTAACATTGAATTCGAGTCGAACGTGTTTCAGCTGTGCCGGGTCCTGGTCAAAAGCTATCCGAGTTTGCAGCGTCCCGCTTTCAATGACTTTAAACCAATGCGTCGGACTCTAGTTTAAAAAATCTTTCTCTTTCTCTCTCACGGGCGTTTGCAGATAGTGAAGATAGATTTGGCAGCTTTTATGCCCTCATAAAAAGTATACGATTGGGTGGCATGGGAACTTCATGTATCCACCTTTGCAACTTACTAGATCGTGCCATAATTTATGACAACTGATTTGCGAAAATCATGTTTTCATTGCATTCAAGAGCTTCCTTCAACTGATTTACGCTTAGCCCAAAAACGTAATCGAAACTGCTTCCATTTAATTAAACCCTCAAAATGCTCAAAAGCAATGTCCGAACAGGTTTGGGTGCGTCTCAATTCCAAAAATTACTAAAGCGGGCTCTCCATGCAAGCCACAATCAATGCTGAATTGATTCTACTTCGCTTAAAAAATTTAAACATAGCCGTACGTCGATTCTCGTCCTTCAAGCAGAACATGGTGACCGGATATTGCCGTTGCGACGCTGTCGACGGGCGTGCCCCGCCACGCTTTCCTGCTTTGATAAGGGCGAGACTAAATTAAGGGGCAGCTATGTTCGATGCACAGAGTGTACTGGCAAACATCACTGCCACGTTTGAGGTACAGAAACAATATATATCACCAATTTTACCCAGGTGGCGTCAATTCTTTGTTTTGGTTTTGTTTTTTCTTTTTTAGTTGCATCGATCTCTCTTCATCGCGTAAAACCTCTGAACAGGATATTGAGCCAGTGAGTTGCACGTTATGCTTTATCTAGGAACCAAACAATCTAGAATCTTTCACGTTGTGTGAAGTGAGTCGCTGACTTCAAACATGGAAATCGCATTTTCCTGTGACTTTTTTATATGCTAGACTAGCTGGCTTACCCGGCTCCGCCGTATCCGGACCAAACTTGGCACACATACACTTCGGGCCCCGGCGGGTGTCACAATCCACTTTTCGTTATCGATCGATGTCGATTTTACCGATTTTTATCGATTTTTTTGCAGAGTTCACCTACAGGGCTAGGAGTTGGCACAGGGGGGGAAGTGAGCATGGGGATTCCGAATACAATATTAGTTTTCAGAATTATCGATTACTTTTATTGATTTTATCGATTTTTTATAAATTTTGACATGCGAGGCTGGGATTTTGCACAGGGGGGTAATCGAGCATGCTGATTACGAACACAATATTAGTTTTCAGGATCGTCCATTACTTTTATCGATTTTATCGATTTTTTTGTAAAGTTTGACCTGCGGGGCTGGGAGTTTGCACAGGGGGTAATCGAGCATGCTGATCACTCCCCTTGGGAATGATCAGCATGCTCGATTACCCTCCTGTGCCAACTCCCAGCCCCCTAGCTCAAACTTTGCAAAAAAATCGATAAAATCGATAAAAGTAATCGATAATCCCGAAAACCAATATTGTATTCGGAATCCCCATGCTCGATTACCCCCCTGTGCGAACTCCCAGCCCCGTAGCTCAAACTTTGCAAAAAAATCGATAAAATCGATAAAAGTAATCGATAATCCCGAAAACCAATATTGTATTCGGAATCCCCATGCTCGATTACCCCCCTGTGCGAACTCCCAGCCCCGTAGCCCAAACTTTGCAAAAAAATCGATAAAATCGATAAAAGTAATCGATAATCCTGAAAACCAATATTATATTCGGAATCCCCATGCTCGATTACCCCCCTGTGCCAATTCCCAGCCCCGCAGGTGAACTCTGCAAAAAAATCGATAAAAATCGATAAAATCGATATCGATCGATGACGAAAAGTAGCCTACGACCTCCGCCGGGGCCCGAAATGTATGTGTGCCAAGTTTGGTCCGGATCGGTTCAGAAATAAAAATTTCTATTCGGAACATACGTACACACAGACAGACAGACA